CTGTACATTAATTAATATGAACAATAATGTAATGTAGTTATTGTAATGATCCTTGAAATAAAAAATGTGTCATGGTAACGTTGGAACGTCTTATTACTCTCCTATAATCCATCGATTTCTAAACTTGGCAAGCCAAAGTCTGATAAAGGAGGTAACTGTTGGGAATCATTTCCCGGTTTGGGCAGACCTCCGGTAGGTAAAAACACACTTGAATATTTATTCTCCTTCTCGAGACGTGATAAGGGTTTTACATCATTATGATAAACGGCATCCCACGTATCGTCCTCGCATGCCTCTTCAATAAGCTTGCCAATCTGAGTCAAAATTTTCATTGCTTCAGGACGCTTATCAGGATCAGCATCACAACATCGCGCTGCAAGTTTCTTGTACTCTTCTGGTGCAGAGTCAGGCATCGACGGTCGTAGTCCACCCATAATCTCACATACTAAATCTCTATCGAACTGCCTATTTCTGAACGGTGGTTCACCAGTAGCAATCAAATACATAATGATACCAAATGAATACACATCTGATTTTTGAGTAAATTTGCATGCTTGGAAGAGCTCCGGTGCAACAAATGGTAAGACACCTCGAACAGTTAAATCTGACTCGCGTGAATTTACCGATCGTGAGAGGCCGAGATCGCATATGAATGATTTTATCTCATGCGTGTCGTCATGCATAACCACGTTTCCGCTATGGAGATCACAATGCATTAATCCAATACGATGGATATTGCTCAGGTACGTGGCAATTCCATTCAAACGCCATAATTTATCCTTCCACGTCAATTTGTCTATATTTTGATTCATATAGGACGAAAGACTGCCATTGTTAGCATACTGCATAACCATCAGGTATTCTTTTGTCTCTGGGTCTTGTGTGACTCCGTAAACTTTAAGAAACGAGCTAAAAACATTTATACACTTGGCATGATTTCTAAACTATTTAAATGAAATAAAAATAAATACAGAGTCAAATAAATATCACATTCTTCCACATATGAATATTACTAATTACTATTATCACGTGCATTGCCGCTTACCTCAGACAGTAATAATTCCGGCGTTTCATCAAAATTCTTAAACCGTTTAAGTACAACAGTTTCCTCCATCTTCTCTTCCGAATATTTTGTATATTTGCCTGTATAAACTGTTCCGTAACCACCAGATCCGATCTCTTTGATTTCAGAAAAGTCATTATACTGCAAGTGTTTTACATGTTCATTAATTTGTATAAATGTATCCAACAATGTGTACAAGTCGTGGTAAAACACTAAATAGTATTCCCGAGTAGATGGCTTTCGAGTAATCCCAATTATCCAAATATTCTCAGGTGTTAATATTTCGGGGTATTCCTTAGTTAGCTGTTTGAATAAACAAATGCAATTGTCAATTTAAATGCCCTATACGCACTTTTCGGTTACATGTGAAATAATTTACCTGATAAAAATCAAATAACAGATCGTTCTGTTCACCAGCTATCTTTTTGAGTGTTACACGTGTCAATTCATTTGTTGTCGAATCTGACCATTCCGCTATGTGTGCACATCCATGGCGTAGTGATTTCATCTCTTGTACGTTGGTCAATAGAGAGTATTCGATCCATCGTATATACGTATCATACGCATTCCCCATATTATTCCATGATTCCATAATACATGAATCCAATGACTTGTTGCCCGTAGTCCAATCAAGCGGTCTCGGTGCTTTACAGTCATAGCAGAATGCATTAATTATAGGTTCTAATTGTTCTGTGCATGCCGTACATAATCCATTCCCTTGTCCTTCTTTTATTAGACAATACTTTTGTTTACTTGTATCATACGTAAATCCAATGGTGATCCAGACATCAGTGGTAAGAATATCTGGATATTTATCACATAACTAGTGGAAATAATAAGTCAATAATTATTCACTCTATCAATGAACATAACGCATAAACAAATAATTTACCTCGGCATAATAAGAATCATGCGTCTCATCAGTTATCTCAAGTGGAGTCAATGTAACAGATACATAAGTAGGTAGACCATTTAAGTATACCCCAAATTCCCTAACTTTAATACAATCTAATGGAATCCATTCCAAATAGGCATCGTTTGCCGAGTTCGTTTGTATTTGAGATTTCTTAATAAACTCATCGAGCTGCTTATTGTTGCTAGTCCATCCATCGAATATTTCCTTATGACCACAAATGCACCACACGGGACTACATCGAAGTATTCCACACGCAGTGCAGAATCCATATCGAGAATAACAGTGATAAAACTTTCTGTCAGCAACCATGTAATAGTTCCCATCATTCTCGGTAAACCCCTTTATGAGTCTATTGCGACGATGAAGCCATCCGCTATATCGTCTACATTGACTGACATCATTGTCATATTTGTGTGTTGGAAGTGCGTATATTTTAGCAAATTCACTCACAAATGTTTGTGTACATTTTTTGCTGTTTCCAAGGCATAGCAGCGTTATCTTGCCAAACTCGCGATGACTAGCATAACAAACGTTGTCAATGTGAGTCGGTTTTACGTCGACGATTTTCTTGTAAGGCATCCATTCAAGTCTTAGGTGTTTAAATTTACTTTCCAAGGAAGATTGAACCAAATCGTCAAGTGCTTGATTATAAACGTTTTCCGGTATTAACGACATGGTTTAAATAGAAAACTTTCGTAGATTACGATTAAACAATATTGTACGCGATTCTTGGTCTGCTCGAGAGAAGCAATGGCTGTAGCTTTATGATACATGACATTTCGAATATAATTACCCGGACTTGCTCAGGGCTATTCTGTGTCACAGTAATACGACAGCCTTTTTCAGAATATGAGTAACATCGATCTCAGCGAATAACATACTCCGTTTATTGAACGTGAGCTAACGCGGCGGCTATATTTAAAGTTTTATGAACAATCCACATATCGAGTCATAATTATGTTTGAATTTCATTTTTATCGGCATTTCGGTATCCCGAATTTTTCCATATGAAGCTTGTGAGTGAGCGAAAAGCTGAAGTTTTAACTCAGAAACGGAATCGTTTTGATAATTACTTTCTAACTACTGCATTAATCTTGTGCCGATTTACATCGCATTTCCAGTTCACACGGAAATTACTATTTTGTCTCGTACCATAACTTTGATTATACAGCTGTTCGCACACGGAATTATAATTTGCATAACAATAACAATTTTTAAAAACGTTTATGATTAGCATCCTTTTTCTGAGTGTCACTAATCAACCTCCTTGGTTATCTTTGCAAACTACATAGATTTCTTCATATAACGACTTAAAACACATAATTATAACTAACATGTTGCAGGTTGTACAATGTTATCTTAGTAGATGTTATCAATAAGCAGTAAATTGCATTAGAAAGTGGTTGAACAAGGAAAAGTTGATGCAGTGTAAGCTTAGCTGAATTGTGAACGTACATATGAGAGTGAAGTGAAATCGCAAATTGAGTGTTTAATAATAAAGGCATTAAATAATTCTAAATTTCGTAACCACATAATTAATAGAACAACCCATTAATACCTACACAAGGATAGAAAAGTTTATTTGCTTAGTTTTTGTAATTGTCTGGTTTGAGTCATTCAATTTTGGGGATGATGAGGGTGGCTACGTTTGACTGTTATGTTATCCAACCCGTGAGATAATGTCAGCGATAAATTCCCTACTGTTATTACTTTGAAGCATTGCTGGGGACCTAAGATTTAAATACATCCTTTATGAGGTGCATATAGACAGTTGTTGCTTCTTTATTTTATATTTTTCATCAGTATTGTGATATGGAATTTTAAAAACATACAGGCCACATTAACAATTATGAAAATCCCCCCGTTATTGCTTTCTGCAAACTGTGACACAACCAGCACATATCAGTCTTCTCTTTGATGGAAGTGTTAATGGTGCATGCGGCGCGTTGTTATTGTTACATATTCTCCTTCGTAATTCTGATATAGTTTTTAGCCACTGTCAAATAACGTGAAAATCCAGAAAGAATGCAGACGTAAAAAGTATATGAGCCAATCAAATTTCAAGAATTAGTCTACAGATTATTTTAGAACACGTTTCCTTTTTTGGTATAATCCTTGACTGTAGTAGTAGTGCATAATTTGAGTTACACTGAGCTTACAATAGTGAGAATAAATGATATTGATAGCATCTTGCACATTATCTCTCTTAAATCGAAACAGCTTTGATTATTAATGGTATAACATTCACATCACCATAGCTAATAAAGAATTGTTAAAATTGTGATTGGCATTGGTCTCGTTAATTGTGCGCAATTATTCGTTATATCCTTATAAGCCGTGCAAACAACAGTAACATAAAAAATCTAGAAGGCTTGTGTGGAAATGAAAAAAAAAATTGGGGCTGTTTATTTTCAGAACAATGTGGTGGGTTTCAGCAAAGTCCCGCTGTTTAGCTGTTACCGATTTTACCCGAATAGAGAATCTTTTATCAACAGCTACAAAAACTGCTAAAGTTAAGGCTGAACAAGCCTAATACTAATATTCGAAACTAGATTTCATTGGATTCAGTATTCGTACTACACTATCAGAAATCACTTGACAAACGCTTGCCAAATTAGTAACAATCGAGTGATCAGTGACGTAAGGTCTTCATCTTAAACTCCGCATCAAAACTTGATTTTTAATTTGTTTGTGTAATAATATAACACTCTGTCTGGTTATGCCGAAGTCAAAGAAACGGGTCTCCCCGCCTCTTGTTGATATGTCCTATTTGGACCGTGCCTACAGTCTTCAAGAGTTCGAATTACAACTCAAAACTCGTCCCATAAAAGTTAAAGAAGAGTTGTTCATCACTTTGAGTGAGACAAAGCAGGAAAGACCATTTATAAAGAAGCTGTTGTCACAGAAATTGCATGTCAACTTGGTGACTGGAATGTTTGGACTAAACAGGGTGGGGTTGTGACAACCTCCCAAGGAGGTTTCAAATTTGTTAGTGGTAGTGGTGAGATCAGAATACCAGACATGGCTTTTACATCAAAAGAGACTTATCAAAGGTTATCAAACAGGCAAATTTGGACTATTCAAGGTGAAGAGTTTAGTCCTACAGTTGTCATAGAAGTGGATGACTTTGATAATATTCAACAGTAAGTAAAACTGATGTGGTGATAGTAATGCCTATCTTGCAGTATATTAAGTTGATACACTTGTACCCCGTTTATATTCCTACCCAGTTGTAATCTCACCCCCAGTTATATCCCCCAAAGTTTATAAAAACAAACATCCTTATATAATAAGATACTTTGTACACTTATATCCCCAACCTGTTTATATCCCCACTTTTAACTTTGAGGTGAAACAACAGGAGAGATATAAACAGGGTATGAGTGTATATTGAAAATTAGGAACAGTCAACTTGATTACATAATTTTTAGACAAAATCACTTCCTATACTTACCTCTTTCTTGATAGGTCAAAATTTTGTGAAATGGGATTCAAAGTTTAAAGACATTTACTTTGCATGAGGTACATCTGTTAAGATGGGGTTTTTGATTGATCCAAAAAATCATCACATCTGGCTGTATAAACGAAATGCTATTACCAATGCTGTTTGACAAAGGAAGATTAGTCTGTGGCAGAATTTGCCTTTAAATGATAACCTTCCAGGCTTTACCTTTTTTCATATAACTTCTGGAAATTAAACCACTTGAGGTGAGTTTTTTTTACTTAGTGCGATTTTGTCATGTCATAATATTTAGGATTATTTGTGGACTGGTTTGTAGAATCCTATGATGTCATCACCAATGTCAACAGGATCTCACCAGATTGTGTATGCATCTTGCACAACCAGTTTTTTTGACACAATTTCCATTGATGATGATGTGCAAAAAGCTCATCCAGGGTGTTGTAGTCAGGGATTTTGACACATTTGAGCACTGCTTGCACTGCTGTGTAGAATCGCCTCTACTCTGTACTCGCGGAATCATCACAATTGTCAGAGGAAGAAGCAGGAAGATTGCAATTTACATGTCCTTTTCCTTCATGTGACAGGGTATTTACCATATAATTGAACATGCTAATGCGGTACATTACCATTGATTATGCTTGGTGTTTATGTTGACAACAGATCTTTATTATCAGTAAGAGATATTGGTAGAGCCGTTTCCCTCTCTCACACACACATGTTCTGTTCAGTTAACTATCAACTCAAACATGACGTATCCTATTGCACAAAGATGTTTATAACAAAAAACGAGTAAATCTATCCACACTATTGTTGAATATCGTATTTATCGCTATAATTTGAGATTGCCTGTATGTAATCCTGCTATTCTAATAATTCAACTTCATCTATTTACCGCGTATATATTTTCGCTCGACTTGAACTACGTAAAGCCTTTCAAGAAAAGTTGAGCAGCATCTAAATGTATAAGAATAATAATAGCAATTATTATTAAATGCATCAATCAAAAATTCAAAAAATTAGTCATACAACGAGAACGAAAGGCAACTGTCATTAGTCCATGATCATGAGAGGCGAAGCCTCTTAACTATTTATAACCCTAGTTGAAGTATAATTTGTGGAAACGGCTTTGTCAATCTACCAGAAAAACACATTTTCAAAAACCGCTACGAAGCGATAAAGAATTTAGAGTAGCTATGTCAGTTGTGGCGGTGTGGCGTAGCCTGCCACGATTTTTAAACCAAACAAGCTCTACTCACGTGATATAGTCAAATCGACACCAACTCGAAAAACCACCATTCTTCAAGCTCGAACATCGCAACAGTCGGGGGAGTCCAGCGACATCAATCGAGCTTATTATGTGTCACCACGAAATCTGGCGGTCGCGTCTCTACTCAAGGACGGTTTGTCTTAAACTAATACGTAGAGTTATTGTAACAAGGCGAATAGTCTAACGCCTTTTGATTTTTGTAATTTAA